AATAACCTAAAATTCATTTCATTCTAATCTCCTTATTCTGAAAGATTCCTTTCTGTATATTAAGTCGCATTAATGTAGCTCCCTAATGTTTAATTTAACTGAGGTTATTAGTCTATTATTAATCTAACCTGAGCACCTTCTTCATGATTTTCAAGAAAAGTTGATTTTCAAGGTCTTAAAATATTTGTTTTTTATGAGAACCTGTTGTTCTTTATGACTTCCATACCCACCGTACATTGTGATTTATGACTGTCATGGACTCAAAGACAGTTCCTTAACTTCACAGTGAATCACAGTGCTACTATAATTTAAGCAAGCAGGCGGACTGTCTGCTCTTTTATTCTTTCTATTTTATTTTAAAGTTCATTTATTTGAGAAAGAGACATTGTGAGCAGGGGAGGGGCAGAGAGAGGGGAAGAGAATGAGAACCCCAAGCAGGCTCCGTGCTCCTAGCTACAGAGCCCAACGTGGGGCTCAAACTCACAACCTCATGAGATCGTGACCTGAGACGAAAACCAAAAGTCACTCACTTAACCGCCTGAGCCACCCAGGCACCTGTCTGCCCTTTTAATAAAATAAGGGTAGAGTTCATTTTGAATGAAATTTGCCTCCATTCATGAGTCTGTCTTTACACACAGTATCTTGCATAATAGCTTAGCCAAGTTTTAGCTTTTGATATCTTTATTAAACATTTAAGTTTTCTTGGTAAAATTTCTAACTTGTATCCTTCCTATCTACAGAAAGAAAATAAAATTATTTAAATAAAAAATTTTTTTAAGTTTTTCTTTGGCAAAAGATTCACAGCTTAAAGCAACACTTTTAACATAACTTGAAAAATATCAATGCAGAAGCTAATGTCTACTCTATTGAACTTGGTGCCCATTAACAGTTGCATATACTGCTCATTTTGCTTACTAAAATAATGTTATTGGAACCTCTTGTTAATGTTAGATTTTCCTTTGAATTAGAGTTTTACTGAAATTCACTTAAGTTCAACATAGACTTAATGATCTTGAAATGGTACCTTTTTCATTTTTGTATTTTTTTCAAAGCATACCTTCAGATATTATAGTACCTTCTTCCAGAAAAGGAATTTTATAATCTGATACTAAATGCTATTTTATCTTTTTAAAATTTTTTTAATGTTTATTAATATTTTTTGAGAGAGATAGAAAGAGACAGAACGAGACAGAGCATGAGTGGGGAGACGCAGAGAAAGAAGGAGACACAGAATCCGAACCAGGCTCCAGGCTCCGAGCTATCAGCACAGAGCCTGACACGGGGCTCAAACTCACAAACCATGAGATCATGACCTCAGCCAAAGTCGGACACTCAACGGACAGAGCCACCCAGGTGCTCCTATTTTATCTTTTTAATTGAAATGTCAAGGTGTCTACTCTACTATAGGAACCAATAATATCAGACATCATCATGTGTAGAGAGATTTTCCACACAAATAAATGGACAGAACAGAACAGAATGCGCGCTGAAACATAGGAAGACCACCACTTCTCTTTGCTGTCTTTGTAAAAACCTATAATGTAACTTTGTATCATTTTAGTAGTATCTTTTAATGAGAATTTACATTTTCTTATCTATTTTCCTTGGCAAAATTTACCTGAGTATTTTTGTTTCAGAATCAACAATTGCTACTGTATATTCTACTTAAAAGAAGGAGTGAAGGGCATTCTAAGTTATAAGTAATTTCCCAGAAATACTTACTGTGCAGGTTAAAAAAGAAAACCGCAGGCCAAAAATGGGAGTCACATATGCCAAGCCAAGTCATTAGGTTAGGAACCTAACCTAATTAAAGTTTCTACCACTTCCTGAAATGCAGTTTTACCCAATCAGGAATTCTCTG